ACCGGCCACTTTATTAGGTACACCTGTCCAACTGCTCGTTAACACTTAATTTCTAAGCAGCCAATCACATGGCGGCAACTCAGTGCATTTAGGCATGTAGACATGGTCAAGACAATCTCCTGCAGTTCAAACCGAGCGTCAGTATGGGGAAGAAAGGTGATTTGAGTGACTTTGAACGTGGCATGATTGTTGGTGCCAGAAGGGCTGGTCTGAGTATTTCAGAAACTGCTGATCTACTGGGATTTTCACGCACAACCATCTCTAGGGTTTACAGAGAATGGTCCGAAAAAGAAAAAACATCCAGTGAGCAGCAGCTCTGTGGGCGGAAATGCCTTGTTGATGCCAGAGGTCAGAGGAGAATGGCCAGACTGGTTCGAGCTGATAGAAGGGCAACAGTGACTCAAATAACCACCAGTTACAACCAAGGTGGGCAGAAGAGCATCTCTGAACGCACAGTTCGTCGAACTTTGAGGCAGATGGGCTACAGCAGCAGAAGACCACACCGGGTGCCACTCCTTTCAGCTAAGAACAGGAAACTGAGGCTACAATTTGCACAAGCTCATCGAAATTGGACAATAGAAGATTGGAAAAACGTTGCCTGGTCTGATGAGTCTCGATTTCTGCTGCGACATTCGGATGGTAGGGTCAGAATTTGGATCCATCCTGCCTTGTATCAACGGTTCAGGCTGGTGGTGGTGGTGTCATGGTGTGGGGAATATTTTCTTGGCACTCTTTGGGCCCCTTGGTACCAATTGAGCATCGTTGCAACGCCACAGCCTACCTGAGTATTGTTGCTGACCATGTCCATCCCTTTATGACCACAATGTACCCAACTTCGGATGGCTACTTTCAGCAGGATAATGCGCCATGTCATAAAGCTGGAATCATCTCAGACTGGTTTCTTGAACATGACAATGAGTTCACTGTACTCAAATGGCCTCCACAGTCACCAGATCTCAATCCAATAGAGCATCTTTGGGATGTGGTGGAACGGGAGATTCGCATCATGGATGTGCAGCCGACAAATCTGCGGCAACGGTGTGATGCCATCATGTCAATATGGACCAAACTCCCTGAGGAATGCTTCCAGCACCTTGTTGAATCTATGCTACAAAGAATTGAGGCAGTTCTGAAGGCAAAAGGGGGTCCAACCCGTTACTAGCATGGGGTACCTAATAAAGTGGCCGGTGAGTGTATATTTAAATTTGACTGAAGACTCCTCAATGACCTGCAGAGACACATAATTTTCTCTTTACCCCATATAAGACACAAATCTAGTTCTAAAAAGAGCATGAATTCTGTACTTATCTTTGATTGTAGTATATTGATGTGTATAATTAACTAGAAAAAAAAAATTTAATGTTTTGAATATTCAACTTGAGAGTATTACTGCTGCCACCATCTGTATGAGGAGGAAAAATGATTGGCTAAGGTTGTCCATGGCCACCCCTGGCCCCCCATCTAGCTCCGCCCCTGACTGCCAACATCTCATAAAAGCTATAAAACTGAAAAAAAAAAAAAATATATATTTAAAGACAAAAAAAAAAATGTTTGTTGTTTTACATTCATATATCCCTGATATCAAAAGTACACAAATTATTAAAAATTGCTTAAACTCTTTAACTGTTTAAAGCCGAAAAGTGAGATTCCAGCGGTCTGAAGTCACCTTAAATGACCGATTAGAGCTGTGATGTGTCTCCAGGTAACAGCCCCCCTCCATCCTATAATGTCACGTAGCAGCTGGCTGTGGTCCAGAGAGCCCACATCAGCAGACAGCTAACCCACGGAGCTGTCCGCAGAGTGTCACTCAGCGTGGACAGCTACACAGCTTAGGTCAGCTAACGTTAGCTACCCTCATCGGCTGGCCTGAAATATCAAACACTTTGGACAAAGGCTGCTTTGGAGCGACAGACGCTCCAAATTGAGGCAAAATACAAACCAATGCGGCCATTAACTGGTATCGATGACACACGGCATACAAGCATCCTCTGTAGCCCCCTGCGTCCTTACCTTTAGGTGGGCACGGTATCGAGACCCACAATTTCCCAAAGCTGCTGGAAAACCAATCACTTATCGATTTTAGACAGGCAGGCAGACCTGTGAAGCTAACGTCTGTTTTACTTCCACTTCCGCTAGCTCGCTTTCAAAATAAAACGAATAAAAAATAAATATTATTCGCCTATATTTTAATATGTGTCTCCTCACAGTTAACTAAAATCAAAACATCACATGTTTTTCATTCCATATATTTCATCAAACATATATCACGAAAAGCAATAGTAAAAATCTAATAAGCTAAGCTAATCTATGTAGATGTTGATACCACCATGTACACAAACTTACTTCCGGTTAGTTTTATGTCACTCACCCACATTTATATTCTTCAGACATATCTGCAGGCATCTATCTGTGCAGTAACCCAACACAAAGTAGTGCAACAACAAAGTGGAAGTAAAACGATTCTTAAGTTTTGGTTGGAGTTTTTTTTTTTTTTTTGGGTTTACAAATTTATTTTATTAAAATTTTCTGCACACATCTGAATTCAGATTTCCAGGTCACTGTCCATCCACTACCCAATTTATTTGTTGGTTTGTCACATAAAATCCTTGTCAAATACAATATAATACATTTGTGTAATGTAGAAAAAAGAAGGGAAAAAAGAGATATGATTACTTTTGCCACCATTGTAAAAATGCTTTTACCACGTCAATATTTGCCAAGTTAAACTTTTTTTTTTTTATTCTGCTAGACATTAACTTCAGAGAAAAACCTCTTCTGATAGTGAGCATTTCTTGATTGAGTTCCACTGGTTGCAACACATTCCTACAATTCACATCTCAGACTTGAACATCAGGCTGGATTTTTATTTTTAAAGTTGCATTTTCCAGCATCTCAGGCCACCTGATGCAAAAGCTGAATGCTTTTTTGAATGTAAGCAAAACACAAGGTGGCAATTTTCAAGTCCCTATACCCTTTTTAATACCAGCCTGTCTTATTTCAGTTAAATTCTGTCCTAGTTCTTCTGTATACAACGGCATTCTTAATGACGTTTGAGGAATATTCCTTTTTTTTATTAACTATTTAAAGTTGAAAAACATTCATTTGTATATAAATTATTTACATTTCGTCATTGAGGGAAACAATCTAAACTTAAAAAACACATCAGTCTCAATGTAAAAAATGTTGACCCTTACAGGTTATATAGTCAGTCCTCCTTTCCTTTGCCTTAAATGCTTACGTCTACCTGTTCCCTTTGGTTAAATCTTAGTTTCTTTTTGTTTTAATTAATTATTTTGATGAAAATCCCTTTAAATTTCAACTTCAGCTTGAACCCACATTTTGCCATTTTCTCTCTTCGCTTTTATGCTAATTTAATTTCATCCCTGTTTTTTAGAAACTGGGGATGTAGAGTGAGAACATACCCTGGGATGTCTAGCAGCCCAGGGTATACTTTTCCTGATCACCATGCAATGTTGAAATGGCAGCTTAACAACATCTCAAGAGACTTTGAAAAAATATAACCTGCACAGATGCTTCACATACCTAAAACTTCCCCGGATTTGGTGCTGTCAACCAAACTAACATAAGGGAAACAGAGAGGTTTTAAGAATGCCAGAAGAAATAGTTCTTAAAAAATAAAAGGTACAAAAACCAGAAAGTCAATAAGGAAAAAAGAAATGTGTCTTGTTTGAAAAACCTTACAGGGTTTCTTTTGGGGCAAAAGTAGATCTAATTAAGTTCTTTGAAAGTGCCCTGACCTTTGAAACCTAAAAAATGTAAATGCGTCCTAAGGCAAAATTCCTTGAAGGTTAAAAATGTCATGAACAAAAGCTAAAAATAATGACTTTCAGTAAAACTTTTTCAAATGGTTTACCGAAAAGCTTTACTTATTTTGAGCATCGTGCTAAATACAGAGACTCTCAAAGCATGTCAAAAACCCTTTATTGCAATAGAAAAAAATGCCCACATCACTGGGCTAAATAAAGTTGAATAAACCTGAAAATGTTCAAAGCTAAAAAATGCTTGAATTGTTTTCATTAAATGTGGGATTTCCAAGACAGAAATTCTTTTTATGGATTTGTTTTTAATAAAAAAATATATATACTAACACAAATACAGCAAAAACTAGAACACAGAATGCCTAAAACACATGAATAGGGTTCTAGATCAGTATATTTCGAACAAAAACAAGATAAATTAATATATTCCAGTGAGCCACAGTATCCATGTGTTAATATCATTTTATTTACTCTGTTGGTTGGATTAGGGCCACTGAAAAAATAGAAAAAAGGTTGACTGATTTTTTAATTTTATTCCAGTATAATATGAGAAAAAAATCACAATTCGGACTCTAATCTAAGAATTCTGACTTTTTATTCCCAATTCTGACTTTAATCTCAGAATTCTGACTTTTTACTGCCAATTCTGACTTTAATCTCAGAATTCTGACTTTTTTCTCAGAATTCTGACTTTAATCTTAAAATTCTAAATGAATTCTGACAGCTAACAAACATGTTAGCATCAAGCCGTAGCCATATCTGTTTTAGAGACTAAACTAGCTCTCTTATTTTAATCACCTTCTGGTATTCCATTAATGAAATAGTTGCTCTGGTATGTAAAAAGTCACCTAATTCCATAATTTTCCACCAATGTGTTACTGGCCCCAAACAACTCACATCTTTGTCAGTGAAGCTGAGTGCTCCCACATCTCTTCCTTCATGGTGCCCATCTACATTAAGATCCAAAATTCTGAGATCAAAGTCAGAATTCTGAGGGGAAAAAAGTCAGAATTCTGAGATCAAAGTCAGAATTCTGGGATTAAAGTCAGAATTCTGAGATTAAAGTCAGCATTCTGAATTTTCCCATACTGAAATAATATTTAAAAATCAGTTAACTTTTTTAATTTCTTCAGTGGCCCTAACCCTCCTCCGTACGTACGACCAGCAGATGGCGCTAATGCATAAATGGTTCCAAACTCCAACCAGAAGAGACGTAGAGGAAGCAGGAAGTTTGTCTTCCATGTGATCAGTCTACTGCATCATTCATTTGAAAAATAAAAAATGTTATTTTTAGAACTGTATTTATAAAATTATTGTCGTTTTAGGGTAAAGCGATTTTTGTTTTATAAATTACGTACGGAGACAAAGTAGGGAGCTGTAGACATTGCTGCTAGCTAGCTAGTGTAGAAAGAAGCTGCTCTAAGGTAAAAGCGCATTGGTTGTGAAAAGTAAGGATTCAGTAACTGCTTTTGGGATGAAAAATACAGTCGGTACCAGCACGATTAAGGAAAACCCGTGGAAGATTCCTCCAAATGCCCCTGCCTGCATGGAGAAGCACCTGTGCGCGGCTCAGTACCGAGCAGGTAGGTACAAATACTCTTAGCTTGGACGAATGGAGGACAGCACGTGGTGCTGTGTGCTCTTATTGTTTACATTTTCATTGAGGAACAGTTGTGTTTATACGATATGCACAGAGCTGGCTGATCTGAGGTGTATATATTTTTATTAGATACATTTGTTCTTGTTTTCTTTCTCGTCAGATGGGACCCTGCTGCTGGGAGCCTCCAGCCTCTCTGGGAGGAACTGGCAAGGATCTGTTTGGATCTACAGCGAACCAGAGCAAGCCCCCAGCGAGGGCTTCTGCAAAGCTGGTGTGCAGACTGAGGCTGGTGTCACAGATGTGAAGTGGGTGGCTGAAAAAGTAGTGGCGGTTGCCTCAGATTCAGGTAAGGCCAGGCTTCACCGGACCACAGTGGGATGATGCTGGGATGATCTGGGTTTGTTTGGCTGTGCAGGGGCCCTGGAGCTCTGGGAACTGGCAGAGGATGAGCGCCTGTTGGTGAACCGATTCACCAGATATGAGCACGATCACATTGTCACCACAGTGAGCCCCATCAAAGGAGGCAGCAGTGCTGTCACTGGGAGCATGGACTGCAGGTCAGACTCTAGCTCGCACAATAACTAGTGATGCAGAGAAAAGAAATAAAATGCCACATTGTTACACAAAACATGGCTTTGTAAAGGTAATTATGAACATCTCAACAGTTAATCACATTTAAAACACCAACCTGTAAAGAGTTTGAGAGTCCTACACAAAGAACTCTTAAGTAGATGTACATAAATATTTAAACAATGAAAACATATTTGAAGTGTGTTTTTTATACATGTGTTCGCCTTCCTCAATATATTGTAAAGCCAACTAACTGTCTGTGATTGCAGTGGCAAGATTTTGGTTTCGACTCTAGCGACTTTCTGTGCCTAGAGGCTCATATTTGTCCATTTCCTATTCAAGCCTTATCGGCTGTTTTAAACAAGGATACTTAACTTATGTTTGGCTGATTTCTGGCATACAAAGCTAGTAGTTCTGCTATTGACTGATTTTTTTTTTTTCCTAACTGAACTGTGGATTTCTGCATCTGCAGAACACATAATACACCAACCGCACGATTAATATTTTTTTTTTCTTCTTTTATCAGAGAAACAGGCTTAATTTGGACTATACATGCTACATTCTGCAGTTCTGCGACATAAAATCCCAGCAAAAGTCTATATTTGTAAAAGGAATATAATTTAGGTTGGGCAACTTTTGCTTGGCACTGCTAACACTCTTCAATAGGTCCATAACATCTTATGTACAGTAGAGGGTCTGGGCGTTCTGAAATATACCAATGACAGATTGTTATCATAGTGAACTTTGAGTTATCAACTTTATTTTTTTCTTTACTATTGTTATCTCTACATCCACTTCATCTCAGTAACCTTCACTGCAAAAAGTTGAAATCTAAATAAATAATAATTTCTTAAACTAGCTGCACTTTTTCACAAAATGAGAAAAATAAGAAAAAACTGTTGGATTGTGCATAATATCTAATTATCTTTTTTTAAGAGTATAGAATCTCATTCTATTGCCGAATCATTCTTTTTACCTACTCAAATTAGGGGTAAATATACTTAATTTAACAGGTGTTTACTTATTTCTAGATTGTTTTGCAGTGTTTTAGGGTTGGTGGCCTATTTGACAACAACCTAATATTGGGAAAAATGTGTATGTTTTTCCTTTTCATTTTTTCTGTACAGAATTAAAGTCTGGGACCTCAGTCAGGAAACCGTTGTCACCACCTACAATGGTAAGAGAACAATTTCCAATCAGTATTATCAAAAAAAAAACAAAAGTAGTACCTGGACTCTTTTAATACACGTATGGGGGGAAAAAAAATAAAATAAATCTTCTCCTTGATTGGGTTTTTTGCCTCAGGGTGCCGCAAAAGTGATGTGGCTTTGACTAGGTCCTTAAAATATTTATTTCTAATCGCTTCATATTCCACAGTATTATTTATCAGAGATTCAATAAAGATGGAAACGTTCTGACTAACAAGAATATTAGGCTTGATGTCAAGATTCGAAAGGGAGTGAAGTGAACACCTCTATAAAGCCAGGATTCATGTCAGTCTCTGCTCTGAGGGACACAGCTGTGTGTAAACTACATGCCAAGGGTAGAAAAACATTATAGATAAGTAATAATAGAATAATAATTTTAGAAACTTCAAGCCTGTCATTCTGCTAAGATTATTCAGACCTTAACATTATGGACGTCTCTGGTCCCTGCAAGTTCTGCACAAGGTTGGACCAATAAGTGTTCAATGAAACTGATAAAAACAATCCCAAGAGCTCCATCTGGGATTCTACAGGCACCAGCTAGCAATGAAAGCCCTGGGATCATTATAGGGCAATCTTTAAAAGACAGAAAAAGTGTTATTAGTTTAGAAGGGCTGCTTTGATGAAGCCTTTTTGCTCCAAATATTGTGTGATAAATCTTCTTGAGAAATATTTCTTTGGGCAAATGAGCTTAAAATCCTTCTTTCATGCAGTGTTTGGTTAAGTGGCCATGGAGAGAAGATGGGGAATTAATGAATCAATTAATTCATCATCTGTATCAGGGCATCGGACACTTGATGGACACCTTAACAGACTATAATTTTTCTCGAGCAGCTCAGCGTCGCATACATGTAAACAAAGCTGCCGCTTGTGTAGTATCTCATGGCCATACACACAGTCTGTGATGTAGTGAGGGCAGCACTCCTGCAGGTCATACAGCCAACGCACAGTTGTGAAAACCTGAATCTCTAATATTTTTTAAAGGATCTTCTCACAAATCTCACAATTTTTGCACTGATTATTTGTTTTATTTATTATCTCGTTTCTTTTTCAGCAATGATAACATATTAAGACATTATATAAAAGAAAACCAATTCAGAATAGTAAAAGGTTAGTTTGTCAAAAAGGAAAGTAATTAATTAAATTAAAAACTATTCACTTTGTCAATGACATATTTAGTTTTAACTGCTATTTGATTTGCAAATAGTTGTTATTTTATTATGATGGTTACTTTTTTTTAACCTCTGAATTAAATCGGGTCTTCAATCAAAGGGCACGTCATTGTTTCTTGAACAGCTGATTGGCTGCTGGGTGGAGCGTTTTCTAGGATTCAGACCAATTCTGAAAGCTCGCCTGCCCTGGAGCAGGATTGCTGTTCAGAGTATGTTACCATGGTGACTAGCCTCGTTAAGAAGGAATCCAGTTTCGTTGTACCGGAAAGTCAAGGTTTAGGCTGACGTTTTCTCGCGTAAACCCAGTAATCCTGCTTCATGGCGCAGGCCTCTGTGCACGAACCAGTTTTTGCAAACATTAATGAACTGAAGTCGGAGAGAAAAACCTTATAAATGAAGAACAAAAACTAACGTACACCTAATTACACAGCAGTTTGTAATATGGTCACTGATTTAGACGGCTTGTTTAAATTGTTAAAGTTGATAACAGCAAGAGATGTTTGAATAATTTTAATAACTCTTCCTAATCTTTCCTCCTTCCAGTTCACACACAGCCTGTTAATTGCGTTGCCTGCAGTCCTACAGACGAGTCCCTCTTCGTCTCTTGTGGCCAAGTAGGATTATTTTCAATGTTGTTGTTTTGTGTTTTGCAATTAACATTTCTGCATGTGTATATTGCTTTCCAGTCAATGTTCTCTTTTATTCTGCAGCTCCTCATCAGTCACGATTGTGTTGAGCTTTTTGATGAGCTTGGATGATACGATAAAAGTCCATGTGTTTAGTTTGGATCCTGCTAGTCCAGATTCTTATGGCCAATACGACTTGTGGTTTCCTTTTAGGCATGATTTACAGATTCTGACTATCAAAAAATTATTTTTGCTACAAGCACACCCTTTCCGAGGCTGTCGTTCTATCGGCTGGAAAGGTTGCTAGGCGACGATCCGATCCAATCTGAGAGAGAGCAAAAAAAAATCCGCAAGCAGAGCCTATGGGTTTGCGAGCGTAACTGAGACTCGAGCAGAGCGTGGTTTGTGCGCGAAGAGAAGGAGGCAAGTGAGAGGAGAAAATATCTGTGCAAGAAGCATTAAATCTGAGAGAAGAAACAAAGATTTGAGAGAGAATAGAAAATATTTGAGAGAGAGCGCATGTTTTGAGTGTGAGCATTATAAGTTTTAAGTGCAAGAAGATGAAATTCTTTTCTCAAATTGAAATTATGTGCTCTTGCATTATGGCAGGATAATTCTCCCATAGTTGAATTACTGGATGAAACTGTAGAAATTTTTCATACAGGCTTTGCGCAGATATGTAGCTAAATATTTTATGCAGCTATTTTCTTCAGGGCTGAGACTAAAATGTTCAAATTGAGGTGTTTTCAGTGCGGTCTCTGTCCCTCAGGATGGCCGTTTGTTGATGTGGGACGTGAGGAAGCCAGATAAACCAGCTTCGAGAATCGGTAGGGCTGCTACTCGTGCAAGCTGTCCTATACTACACCAACATTAGAGGTCCTGATAACTCAGAAAGTGTAAAATAATAGTATGCTGTGTTTTGTTGCAGATGTAAAGTTCCCCAACAGTTCTCCCACCGCTGCTGCTTGGCACCCCCACCACAGAAGCACTATTGCATTTGGTAAGGCCTTAGTTTCAGGTTATTGACAGAAAGAGGACCAGTTTTGTCTGTTTTAGGTGTATCTTTGTGCGTGTTCTTTACGGCATATTTGTTTTGGTTCAGGCGATGACCTGGGTAACGTGTCTCTGAAAGACTTTCTTGGAGCAGAACCGGCTCGGGTGGAAAAAGTCCACAGCCGCAGGGTTAACAACCTCAGCTTCTCCACAAATAGGTAAAGATTTATTGCGCCTAAGTGTTCTTCTTTTGGTGAGGGTTTATTTTCTTTAGTATATATAAATTATTCATCTGTCATCCATCCTAGCGCCTCTTTGCTGGCCTCCGTTAGTGATGACTGCTCCCTCTCTGTTATGAATGCCGAACTGCAGGAAATGTGAGCCTTTTCAGTTCATTTAACAATTTCTCTTTTCTCCATCAAACTTTTTACAAACTCAATATTGTTTTTTTATTTTGTTTTTCCCCAGATTCAGAGATCGGAGCCACCAGGACTTTGTCAAAGATGTGTGCTGGCGTCATGGTGATTCCAGCACTCTCACCACTGTGGGCTGGGATCACCACGTGCTTCACCACAACATCAGTCCAACTGCTGGATCTGCCAGCTCCTGATCCTAGACTTGATCCGTGACCTGTTTCACCCATGTGGGATGTCAATGTGTATCTTAATGGTTGGATATTATATCTAAGGAGAAGATGCACTCAGCTCTTTAGATTGATGCACATTTTTTGGTGTTTGGGTTTTCTTTTCTGTCTTGTAGACTTTCATGTTGTTTAGCATCTCCATGTTTGTATTGCATCATTTTACATTAAAGAAACCTAAGGCTGTTGGACTGATTTAGCATTTGTTTTGTGTGTCTGTTGAAATATTTAAAAAGATATTCAGTACAGTTTGGCAAAAGATCCAAAATGTTTTTTTTCTTGCAGTTAATCGTCATTGTTAGACTGATGCTTTCATAGAGCCAGATCAGAGCTAACAACTGCTAACAAAAAAGCTATTGGAAAATTTTCTAAAAAGGTTTAAAAAGTTTAATCGTAGGTTTTAGTTAGATTAAAAATTAAACTCGGGACCTTTTCCCAGTTCGATCTTAATTTTTCCATTGAATACATTTTTTAGAATGCTATGGTCGGTAAAAAGAAAGGATCCCCTCATAACTGTATGATAAAGCCCATGTTTCTGTACTGAAATAGTTTTCTTATTCTGACACAATGTCTTGATCTTAAATTATTTCATTAGCTGTGATTGCAATGGCAAGATTAATGGAAATAAGACTTAAAACATCATCCTAATTAATGCAACAGATTCTTGCAGAGTTCTATATGTTGCCTGGAAGCTAGTAAGGAATCAAAATATTGAATTGAGTAACTCCCCTATAATCCCATTTAAACTTGTATTGGGGACAAAATACTGAACAAAATTTGTAGTCGGACTCCATTTGTTTTCAACATTTATGAAACATGAGCTTGCTTTGATTTTAGATGTGTGAATACACCAGGCTGTTCTCTACATGCAGTCTGTTCCTCTGCTTGCTTTTGATGAGTGCCAAAGCTGTAGTTGAGCTCAAACATATAATAATCCACATAAGTTATTTTTTGGTTGTAAAAAGCTTGTTTTATTTTTTAGTTGGGTCCTCACAAAGTAGAACAGACCCAGCCCCATTTTATTTTATTATCTGAGAAATAAGATACTTTCATGTACCCCTTGCAATGCACTCGCAGACCACCAAGGCTATGAGCAGTGTTGTATAGTAACAAAGTAAAAATACTTCACTACTGTACTTAAGTATATTTTGGAGTACTTTATACTTTCCAAAAGTATACATTTTTTTTTTAGAACTTTCACTTTTACTTCACTACATTTACGAACTTAATTGCATACTTTTACTCCGATACATTTTCAATGTTTGGTTTAGTTACTAAGTAAAAACAAAAAACGAGAGCGATAGAAAGGCAAGTGTTTTAACCTCACCTACTGACTACAAAGTCGGGTCTTGCCTGGGCTTGTTCATCAACACCAATAGGATACGCCTGTTTCGCAAAGCCAGTCTAAATTTATCCTACACTTGGTTGTTTATATTATTTTCAGTGAATTTAACCTTCAAAGTTTACCAAAATGTTAAAAAATGTCATTCAAACTGCACTTACTTTTTACTTATACTTTTCACTACATTACTTGAGTACATCTATTTTTACAGTAATTCTTATACTTAAGTACAAGCCATTTCAGATACTTTAAGACTTTTACTCAGTAACATTTCAGTCAGTGACTTGGACTTTTACCAAAGTCATATTTTGGAGAGGTACTTATACTTTTACTTGACTCCGACATTTCAGTACTTTATACAACACTGGGTATGAGTGCCCTCTGTCAGAGTTTTGCACAGGGTCAGGTACCCGCAGGTATCCTTCACAACTTATGACTTATATTAGGAAGCATTATTTTAAAAAAAAAAGATATGAGAGAATGAAAGTTAGATATATTATTAAAGTATACCATTCAGTAAATGTTTGGAAATAGAATACGAACCACAAAAAAATCTGTATCCTTAAAAGCTTTATAAAAATTACACACAGACAAAAAAAAAATCATCATGAGGCTATTATGTACAATAATAATGCGAATGTAACTACATCAATAATTAATCACAGGATATCCTTATATTAAAATATTTTTAAAATCAATAAATATAAAAAAAAACATGCAACTGGTTACCTAAATTGGCAGTCTGCTTTGTTCTGGTGGACTTATGTACATGTAACAGTAAACATTATGGGTACATTGTGTGTAATTCCAGCATATAAAGATCTTTTATACAATGGTTTAATTTACAATTAATATTTGAGAGAACTAAAGACATTTTAAAACCTCCAGAATTTACACAAACAAATATAATTTCCAGTATACATTGAAATTGCTAAAAAACAAACAAAAACAGGTATAAATGCACAGGTGAGGCTTTTTTTCCTGCCTGATATCGATTTTCAGATTGTCCATTTTGATTGTTTTGGGACTAATCCGCATAAAATAGAAAAACAAAAACGCGTAGCTTCTCTTAACCTGTAAGATTAACCCACAAAATGACTATTAACTCCTTTTATGCACAAAACATATTTCCCTAAGCTTTCCTGATTTCTTCAAAACTTTTGGAAAAATTCAAAAAGAATAAGGAGAACATTTTTTTTTTAAAGGCGCCAGTCAAGGAAAGTTTGGTAGACTGGTTTGTGCGTCTCCAAATAAAATAGGATTTAACAGGCAGAAAAAAAGCCACAACACTCTAAAGATTATCCATATTAATGTCTAGATCTGAAGAAAGCTCCACTTAAGAAACACAACGACCATCCCTACAATTTCCGCATTAACTTCCAAAATAATAATAAAATGCTTGTAACATCTTCGCCAGGCATGTTTGTGTTATTGCACAAATGATACATAATGTTTAGGTGCCAACCACATTACTCTTGCTATCTTTTTAAAGTTATCTTTGTTGTTGTTTTTGAGAGAAAAAAATCAATCTGCACCTACTCTTTATCTGAAATTTCAGCAAAAACGACCCAAAGCTTTAACCTATTCTGCATCAATGATGAGATTTACTGCATCAACATTTAAAAGATCACACTGCAAAAATTATCTAGATATAAGCAATAATGTCTTATATCAAATGTATTTACCCTTAATTTGAGTAGGTAAAAAAGATGATGTGCCAATGGAATGAGTATTTTACTCTTAAAATAAGATAATTGGATGAAATGCACCTGAAATAAGACAATGCAATTGTTTTTTCCTATTTAAATTTAAATTGTCTTGTTCAATTGCCAAAGTGTTTCATCTCCTCAACTCATGAAAAAATGCACTTATTTTAAAAAAAATGACTCATTTTGCATTGCATGGCTTGGAAAATAATAATTTCTTTGACCTGCATTATTAGTCTAATGGAAACAGGCGGATTTACAAAAACTCTGAGAAATCATATTAATGGTGAGGTTTCTGACAGACCTCTTTGTTAATGTTTTTTCTGACATTAACAACATTTAAATACCTAGCCTCACTCCAAAAATGTAGCTTTTATTGGTCTTTTATTTAAAGAGAAACAGGCCGGAGTCGCAGAAAGGAAGATCTTTCAAATTATCCCATTTTACTGTGGAAGTAGCTTTGGCAAATGCTCCTGTGTGAACAGCAGGTTTGTCCAACATCAGTGCTCCTTATTAACAAGTGTTATGGGTTGTTTGGTTCCAGGTCTGATGGTGAACGTCAAACCATACTGATGTCTTGATTGGATCCCGTTTCTGTGAAGAAGAAAACATTTTGAGTGATTGTAATGTCCAAACAGACTATGGTATACTCTCTCTTTTCTTTTCCCTGATGTACTCACTTGGTGGGGGGACTTTTCACTTGTGTGCTCTGCTGGTTTTTATGTAGCACTTTGCTCTCCAACTCTTTCATGTCTAAAGATGCTGTTTTGTTAGTGGGGGTGGGGGGATTTTTGCTTTCCTGTTTCGGTTTTGGCACCGGTGGCATCTTGTTGTCTTCATCAAACAAAGAGCTACCCCACTCATCAGAGCCTTGCTCTGACTTGTTAACTGGAGCCATTTTGTGATCCATTTCCAACATCTTCTTCTGTAAAATACTAAGGAGGGTGGCCTGGTTGGATGAAATATTGTTTGGTTGTTGAGTCGGGACTGGACTGGATTTAGTCTGGACTGGTGTCTTTGGTTTGACATGTACATCAGGAGGGGGGAGCTTTGGTGGTGGAGCTAGAGATTGAGATGGGGCTTTAGCAGGGGGTGGAGTTTGAGCTGGGGCTTTAGCTGGTGCTGGAATTTGAGCTGGGGCTTTAGCTGGTGCTGGAATTTGAGCTGGGGCTTTAGCTGGTGGTGGAGATTGAGCTAGGGCTTTAGCTGGTGCTGGAGTTTGAGCTAGGGCTTTAGCTGGTGCTGGAGTTTGAGCTAGGGCTTTAGCTGGTGCTGGAGACTTTGTAACTACTAGTGGTGTTGGTGTGACTTCCGGGGGTGCTGGTGCTTTTGTCGAGGGGGGATCAGGCGGACGGATGGAGGGTGGTGACTCTGGTATTTGATCATCAAAGTCACCGAACTCTGGCGGTGGAGGCAGCAATGGCAAAGTTACCTCTTTAGGAATGTCATTGTGTTCATCCTGCAACTTTAAAAGTTTTTCCTCTGCCCTTTGCTTCTGCTCACCCAGGCTGTTCACAGTTGGGGACGCTGTGAAATTAGTCAAAACTAAATCATTCGATAGTTTCTGATCTTTGGCCAGGGCTGTTGGACTTAAGGGTTTTTCTGGACTCTGAATCTTTTGTTCTACAGGTCTAACAGTTGCATTCTCATTTGGCCTAATTTGACTGGGTATAATTGAAGAAGTTGACCTTGGAATGTCAGTAGAGGAATTTGAATACACTGATTCACTCATCTTGGTGCTGCTTTCGCGTGACAGAGAAGAAGTGGTTCTTTGTTTCTCTCTTTCCTTTGCCGCCTGCAGGAGAGCCAACGGCGATGTTGACGGTTTGGTTTCATTGGCCTTTAGGCTGTACAGTTTACGGTCCAATAAGGGACTGAAGCTGCGGCCTTGAGCTGGAGAGGCTTTCAATTGGTTCTTGTTAGTGTGTGAATTTATCTGGACACTAGTCGTTTTCTGTGAGGATGGAGGCTGGAGGGGCTTGGTAATATCAGACTGAGCTGGAACATTTTCTGCTTTAGTCTCCACTATTGGAGCCGGTATTGGAGCTGCTTTTTTAGACTCAGTTTTAACTTCTATTTTCTTTTCTTTTTGGAACTCAGGTAATATGGTGTCTTGTTTTATTTCTAATGCCTCCTTTACTTCATTTACAGCTCTGGGCTCTGGTTTAGTTAGCTGAGCAGCTTGAGGAGCTTTTCCATCTACCGTTACCAGCACAGGTGCAGATTCAACTGATCCTGATTCTTGTAAGAGTAACATCTGCTTTGCTTTTGGCTTTTGGCTAGGAAATGTGGGTTCTGGAGGATCATAAACTTTTGCTTTGTTTTGAGGGTTAAAGGTGGACAATTTTGATGTCTGTACTGGGGGAGGTGGTGCAGGGGAGTGAGGAGGGGACTCCAAAGTAGACATAGATGATAATCTGATGGGCTTTGGAGGTGGGACCTTCACAGTCTTCTGCTGCTTTTCAGTAGGGGGCTGTGGTGGGGCAAACTTTGGACGTTCAGGGACTTTTGCTGGTGGGACAGAGATGGGTACTGATGACCCGGATCCAGTGGAGCAGGTAGATGGAGGTTTTGGAGGTGCCATTGGCGGTGGTTTTAGGATGGACAAATCCTCCTCCACCAGAGATGGTGGCTTTGGAGCTGGCATAGACGGAGGCTGGAGGGCCAGTGGGTCTAAGCTGTTTAAGTCACCCATGAAGTCTGGCGGAGGTGGAATGAAATCCACTGGAGGCGGTGGAGGGGCCATTGAAGGAGGAGGAGGGACAAATATCTTCTCTTCTTGGCCTGGTGCTGAAACAACAGATCTATTAGAGGAAAGATCTCCAGAACACTATAGATCACATAAGCTTCCTATACATAACAATATCGTTTACATTTCTCAACTGAGGAGTATATTTGTTGAAAAGAGGATAGCGATTAAAACTAAGTAATTTCATAGAGAAGACTTTAAAGGCTTGTATGTTTGTTTATAATTGCAAATGGTTTAGTGCTAAATAAATTCCGTTTCGACCGATTTTTTTAACCATTCCAAATAGGATATCCCAGGTTATTACATAAGGGAATTTGGCCTAGTTTTTAGCCTGGAAGGATACCAGTTCACATGTCAAATAATTTAATTCTAAGAGTTTCTATGTCTTTTCTGTATTCGTATTTTTGAAATCTCAAAACGCAGGTCCAGTGAAACCAGCTGCCTTATAATGCATGACAATCAGTAGATAGAATCTATTTAATTTCTCATTATATTGTATTGAAAGGTCTTGAAGGTCTGTTAGCAAACATCGGTAAATCGAAGAGCATCAACCAATCACAACTTGGGTAGTAAAATCTGCTGAAAAAACAACTTTTACCTGACTTAAAACTGCAGATGCAGATAAAGTTGGTTCAACTAATTGATTAGGAATGGACGGAAATGTATAATACCATTAACTGATATTTAAAAAAAAAAAAAAAAACTGTTTAGGACCAATACAATTCTAATAAAATACATTTAGGCCTATGGTTTGACTCAAAATTGTATCTTTACAAAAAGAAACAATGATTTTAAAAGAATAACAAAAAATTAAATAAATTACACAATAGTGTACTGAAAATGTTACTGTTTTGTAACATAGTTGGCTTAAAAAAAAGCTGAAATGTAGGGAAACACTCCCAAAGTGTAAATTTGCTCTCCATCTTTTATGACCTCTGGAACGTTTTCTTTAGTTATTGAGCAACTACTTGGACAAACATTGACATGCCCCGGATCAGTCCTTTATCCTTACTACTCTGATCCATTACCTGAGTCCGAGTAGAGGTGCCACATTAACCTGGTCCAATAAAGCCTAGAAAATTACATTTTTACATTGGGAGTTTAAACCTGAAATACATAGAGAGTTCTTCAGATGCTTACCTGTCCCATTGATCTTTGGGCCATTGGCAGGAGGAAGATCAGGAACAGTAGGAGTTGGTACAGCAAATCCTTGGAAAGCTTCCAACGAGGACTGCAATGGAGACACCAAAAACCATGAGATCAGTGAACTCACTGACATAAGAAGCAGAAATGGTTTGAGCATAAAAATCGTACGTTCTGTTCTGCAGGAATATTTTCTTTACTTGATTTGTTGGCAAGCCTTTGCTCTTAAAGGTGAACAAACCAGTTCTCAGCTTTTATATAGTCCAAGTGTTCCAGCAAAGCATGACACATTATTGGCATATTCAACATAAAATTGATTTTTATGAGCTCTCACACACTGTACTCATCTAACAAATAAATTTCTGCCTGCACATTACATAAATTCCTGAACACTTTTGTACAAAAATGAATGCCTTTTTTGTAGGTTTCTCATAACGTAATTGCAAGTGGAACGCTGGAGTTTCACATTCTTTGCTTATGAGGAACATTGGCTGAAACAGAGGATCCACCTGTAACACATAACACTGCCTGTTGCCAAAGAAAGCCTTGTGAGGAAACTCACAGAAACTTGCGTGTTTGTGTAAGTAAAATGGAAAAAAGAGAGGTGATGTTCACTTCGCAGAACCAATGGCACCAAAAACAAATACAGGCTGTGTTTACATAATAGAGATTCCCCGAGATCTTACACTGTAAATCCATCAGCATAGCCCAGCATGTTTCTGTTGGTGCAAGTCATGTGCCTGTTGTCTGCAAAATCATCTCTTGCTGTGAAAACATTATATACATGTAATGTTTGTTTATTTGCACGCAGTTGTTGTAAATATGTATGACTCAATTTTTTCAAGGTTGTATCCTGTTACAGTCTTTGCCTTGAATACTTGTTCCTTTTGGGAACCTTTTGGGAACCATGTCACTTTAACGTTCATAGTTCACCTTGTTCTTATAAAAAATCCTAAAATTATCATTACCCGGGTCGATTTTAGGTTAAAGATATTCCTGCATATTCCTTGGATAAGAGGCAGTGCAACCTCCAATATTTGGAGGAGACAAAAAGACAATTTTCATTACTTTTCAAATTAAATAAAACTAGAAAAGGATGAACTTTTAAATAATTTTATTGATTTTCAGAAAGGTTGCCACACATTTTTATCTGAAACAAGCTTCTCTAGTGGATGCATTTTCAATCTTAATCTGGCAGGGATATGAATATGAAACAAAGTTGTTCAATTCAAATTTTTGAGCTCTCAGCTCCTTAAACAAAAATTTGTCCCTAATCCCAAGGATTACCTGAAACACACAGGCGTATGGCTTTTTCCAGACAATTGCATCTTGACTGTGGAAAGGGCTTTCTGGTTCTCTTAGGAATCTTGAACTATTACAGAAGCAGCTACTGACATTTCTATTCTTATAAGCTTTTATCGTCGTCTTTTTATCCAACCTCATCTTTTCATTGGAAATGAATAATGTTTGATGCTTTGTCCTTAGATTTTTTCAGCTATTAAGTGTGCTATAAAATGCTACTTACTTACTATTTTGAATGTAAAAATATTTGAAATCTAACGCTGAAAAACTATGAGAAGTATGTCTGTTAAGCAGCTGATTTCAGGCTCTACCTGAACAGATTATTGTCCTGCTACTGTCAGCTTTTTCACTCAAGGATGAAACATTCTTCAAACTTCAAAATGAAAACTACGGTAATGCAGCGGGTACGTTTTCTAGATTTCTGACCCCAAATGTTTAAAATAATAGATTTCTGACTCCAAATGTTTAAATTAAAAGTAATTATAAATGTGTTTCATAATTAACATAATTATAACTTATAAAATGTTATAATTTTGCTTGGTATTTTTTTTCCTGCTTTTTAAAAAAAATTTAGCATAATTTATTAGTTAATGCTATGATTTTTTTTGTTTTGAATGTTTGGGTTGTCATATTTCACATTTTCATAGGAGGCAGGGGTAAATAAATGTGAAAGTTCATCCACTCTATCTGTTTTCTTAACAAAGTCAGACATCTTCTTAATATCATACCCTGCATGAGTCTCTCTGTTAATAATCCCTTTCACATAGCCGATGTTTAAAAAACATAAAGCCTCCCTGATCATCTGAGGGTGTGTACAATCCAGTTTGATTTTGTCTGCTCCCTCTGTCATCTCTGACTCACTTTCAGCTGCAGCAGTGCTCAGAGCTGACCTGCCCATGTGCAGCAAGGTGTGCCATGTTCTCGTGCCAGAGAAACACTCCCATTCAAAAGGGCGTGGTGTGTGAACCGGATCACAGATGAGCTTCATTTGCTCAATGACGAGATAATGGCAGGCCTGTCAGTCATATGCGTTGCTAATGTCCACCTAAATTAAGATTAATGTTTCTAAGGTCCCTAAAAAAAAGTGTGGATAAGTAGTGGGTTGGACCTGAGAAACAATACGTGGGATAGCTAAATATATAATATATATGTAATATAACAACAAAAAAACTTAGAAATCCATCCTTTATGTTATAATGTTGCTAAGATGGATAACTTATTGTTTTTCCTAAACTTTAACCATTTTAAACTATTTGACATTGCTAAAGAAAAATTTGAAAGCCAATAAGTAATTTTATGTCAATAAAGCGGGATATACACTCACCGGCCACTTTATTAGGTACACCTGTCCAACTGCTCGTTAACACTTAATTTCTAAGCAGCCAATCACATGGCGGCAACTCAGTGCATTAAGGCATGTAGACATGGTCAAGACAATCTCCTGCAGGTCAAACCGAGCATCCGACAAATCTGCGGCAACTGTGTGATGCCATCATGTCAATATGGACCAAACTCCCTGAGGAATGCTACCAGCACCTTGTTGAATCTATGCCACGAAGAATTGATACAGTTCTGAAGGCAAAAGGGGGTCCAACACGTTACTAGCATGGCGTACCTAATAAAGTGGCCAGTGAGCGTAAGTACAAAATTATTCATTTTTTTAATAGGCATTCATGAGCTAATTAACACTTTAGTCTTAGTTTAGAAAATATTGGCTTTATGGCTTTATTATACTTTGGTAAAATTGAAAGATTAAATTTTTCAACAACAGAACAACATGTCATGGTAATCCATCCATCCATCCACCCATCCATCCATCCATCCATCCATCCATCCATCCAACACACCAGCAACTAAATGATAGCATTCCCTCCTCAGCCACCACCAAGATGGTAATAATCTGTTTATTTAAGCAAGCTGTGAGGAGGTGGGGAAATACATTACATTTACAAAACAGCAGGTCCTGAGTTGAATACCACTAATCTAAATTACCTTATGTCCACAAAGACACTAAAACAGAGGTTACCATGGAGACTAGAAAAGAGACTCCTAGTTTGGCCAAAGCATAGCCTAAAGCAGAAAATGTTTCAGCTCAGTTGGCTTTTGCTTTTTCCTTCAATGGCCATCCATCATGTGTTGAGGGTCATTGGAGTCAGGGTCAAACATTCAAAGTTGAAACATTGCAACTTAATTGCAACTCCAATGGTCAAATCTGCTTTCCTGAAACTTTACTTATAACATTATTTATCAGCGCAGTGCTGAAGAAATATACTCATAAGGTATAACCTTTTTTTTTGTCATTGCTGATCTAAAACATTCAATTTGGTAAAATCCTGTAATAAAAAAATGGTTCTGTTTGCAAAAAAAAAAAAAAAATGCAAAAAATAGTCAATTATATATCTATATCTATAGATAGATAGACAGACTTACAGTGTGATGCTTGACGGTGGGTCTGGCTTTCACTTTAGCAGTACCCGATTCGAAGACTGCAGATTTTGAATCCAGCACTAACTCAATATTGTCTGATGAGAGAAAAAAACAGATATTTGGGGGTTTATATTTGAATACTTTAGGAAAGAAGAAACAGAGATTAGAGAAAGTCTGAAGAACTATACGTTCCAACTGTGTGTAGTGAGATACAATGTGTCCCAAAGTGACTTTTAAATGGCTATTAGTCAACCTGACTGTCTGGTGTTTGCTTTGCTGTTAACAGCATAATAAGGGAAACACATAAGAAGCTCACATTACTGCTTTTAATTACATATCACCACTATGGTTCAGTGAAAGTTCAGTGATGAAGGACAGAAAGCGACACATAGATGTTGATCCTTCCAGATCCAGCTTGCAGTGAGACACTGCAAACTGATTTCGAAGAAGCTGATTTAAAATAATTTGCATCACTAAGCTGTTTTGCTTAAGCCACGTTACCTCCCCAGTGTTTGTACAGCACACATTGCAGCTGTTAGGCAAGAGTTGTGAGCGATGGTGGGTTTTAAAAAGCATTGGGATGTAGAAGCAGGATATAGCTGGGTAAATCAAGATGTACTGGTTCTTAAGAAATTAGATGTATATAATGAGTGTGCTGCAGAAAAACAATATTTTAGAAACATTTCCTTGTAGCATGTTTGTCCGATTAGTGACCGACAACAGCTTGTCACTGAAAGGCATTTAGCCTGTAAGTCATTTCAACTCTTTGTGGTCTAACAATCTAGCAAACAAAGAGTTAGTGAACACATCACAGGCACCCAAAAGCACTGTGTCTCTCCTCAGTTTTGAGACACAATAAGCACAAGATTCCGATTATTTTTGTTCTGTTTCAGACCAAAGAATATGATAAAGTCAGTGAAGAATGTGGAAACAGCTGAGGAATGAAAACACCATGGTGTTAAACCAGTCTAACCAAATGATTAGTTTTCCTATTGTGCACCATCCTCATTTAAATAGACAAATGTTCTCTCTCTCTCATGTTGCACTGTTTGCATAGCAATTGCCGCTGTGCTTCATTTGGCTTAGATTCCAGTTGGCCTAAAACTATAAGTCTGTACACTGTTGTTTTTTCCTAGAAATTGGGCATTAAGTTGGTAAGTTTTCTCAAATCCAGGTTAATGATGCAACAGACTGTTGCCTCACTCCTCCTTGTTTCATGCAAAATTTTTAAACATCTGTTAAAACATGTTGTTGAATCTCCATACTTCTTAAAAACTGGAGTAGCTAGTTGGGCTGAAAGTTTTGCACATTCTTAATGTTGATCTCCATTTTAGGACATTAGATCTGCCATCTTCATGTCTAAAAATGAGATTAACTATTGACCCTGACACATAAACATCATGAGAAGGTAGTCTGTGTTTAATTCTTCAAAGAAGCGGGAGATAAACAGAACTTTCTAAAGAAAACTCTTGGTTGGCAATTCAAACTACAACCATTTCATTGCTGCAGAAGACATTAAGCAAGAGTCAAGTAGTGTCTTTGTGTTAATCTGCCACACCTCTGCCAATAATACTATGATCTCAGACAGAGGCTCCAACACTTTTCAGCTTCTCTTCCATGAAATGGTCCCTGAGTTGATCCATGACCCAAACCTTTGTTTTAGTTTAAAAATCCATTAGTGACACATGAATTGATATTGAAAACAGTCTAAAAGACAAAAATATTTGCTTTTATACCTTAAATCACCTCAACATTATTTTTTGTTAAGTTTATTTTCTGTGTTGGTTCTCAAGAACCCATACTGGTTGATTAAGGACCCCAAGTGGGGTCACGACACCAACTACACCAACTTTGGGGATTGATTGATATTCTTACGTTTGCATATAAGAATACTGAAAGACCCTTTTTGGAGTAAAACCCCTCCATTATATTAAGAAAAGGCACTGTATGTTTAGCATGAAAAGATCCAGATTTAGCTCTTCAACCTACAGGAATGGATCGATCAAATGTACAGCTTAGGTTGCAGTCATTGCTGTCAGAAACAAAGAAAACAAAGGGGGGATTATTCAATCCACTTAAGCACCAGCAAATCCTGAAAGAGAGAACTAAGAATAGCTGACGATAAAAGCATTTTTTAAGTAGTTATCTATGGTTGAACAGTTCACTTTTCATCCTAGATAAAAAAAAAGGATGGTTAAAAAAAAGTTTTAATCCAATCCCAGTGGGTTATTTTAATTTAGAAAGTAAAGGTAAGAACTTGGCAGTAGAAAACATTTGTGGTACTCTGTATGGTGGAGTATGGCTTGCTGCCCAGTGTGCTCACCAGTAATGGGGCAGCATTGCTCTTCCAAAATAATTTAATAAGGAAAAAGCACTGAAAGCCCTGTTCCACTTCTTAAAATAATCTAAAATTTAGTTTGTTCAACTAATTCTCTTTGCAACAACAAAAAAAAAAAAAACTCTTTACCAAGTATTCTTTAAAAACATAGATTGGGTTCAGAGTTAAGACTCAATGATTTTTGAAAGATTTTAAATAAAACAAAAACTGCTACAGAAAGAGATCGTTTTCTTAAACACAGTCCATGAGGTATGTGAATATGGAGGTAGGAGACTTTGAGTTGATCAGAAGTCGTCCAAAAATGTCGCTTTTAATATGTTTCAAATGTTCATTAGCTTTCATTTCAAGGATTTAAAGCCTAACAAAAGAAACAACACTGAGACCTTAATAGCTTTAGGAGTCTGATTATTGGCAGCTTTTATTCAATCCATTTATAAATTCTGTCTAACCATTTTTAACACTAAGTTACAATTTTTTTCTATGTATCTTACATATTTAGCAAAATGTTTACTGAAACCAGCAGGGTTTTTTTTTTCCCAAGAGAGGTCTAAAAGGTGATACAATACTTTTATCTATGTCATGATTAAAATATTTGGGTTTTATGTTATGTTCACAGGAAAAAGTTAATGAAAACATATTAAAAGGATGCCTCAATGCTTATGTATTATAGATTAAGCAACATATTTACCTGCGACAATAGCTTTTCTTTTTTTTTTTCCCAGAAACCTATGAATTTCGGCTGTTTAAAAAAAATTTCTGCATTAAAAAGTATAGGTGATATTGTTATGGTAGTGCAGTTATGCAAAATGCACATTCTTTCTTAAGTTAGTGACGTAATTGTCAAACAGATATAGACAAATTTGAAAATATTTTTACAGTTATATCATTTCTTCCACAGCATTAAAGTATGTATGGCAACATCCATCCATCCATTTTCCGTCAAGCATGGTCGCAAGGGGTGCTGGTGCCTCTCTCCAGCTGTCTACGGGCAAGAGGCAGGGTACACTCTGGACAGGTTATATGGCAACATAATAATCTAAAAAACGTGTTTTTTTTTTGTTGAAAGTATTAATTATAAAGGTAGAGGAATTGAACACATCTCTTCCTTGCCCTCATACTTCTGAGAAAATTAAAATAAATAAGAAAGTATATATAGTTTATATATTTCTTCAGAGTTTACATTTTAAAAAATATGCACGTAAACACAAACACATTTATCTTTGGCGGAGCTTTATGTAAGTGATAAATAGTTAACATTTTTCTGCATTCTAAATCTATAGTAACCAACCTAAGAAACTATGAACTTTTGATATATTTCACTTTTGTCTTTTTAAGGTATAGGATACTTACTAGGCAATCTTGTCTGAGTTTATTTTAAAACTTGTTGTATATAAAGAACTTATTTTAGATCCATAATGGTGAATGTTTTGATGAACAGCTGAAGTCAAGTTAGAAGCTTTGATAAATATACAATTTTTAATGAAATCATTCTACTTAAAATGTTAACAACTGTCTTTTAACACTGACATAAAGTTTTTATCAGCTGTAAAGAGTTAGTGAAAAAGGCTTTGACACTCTTCACCATGAAGTCCAAAGGTCGAGTTAACCTTTAGTAAATAGATCATGAGATTGAACTTGTTTGGTTTTACTCACCTCTGTCCTGGATTTTAATGTTGGTGTCATAAAGAGATTGGTTCTTTCGACCCAGAAAATGCAGTCCCTTCTTCATTGTTGACGTTTACTGGTTCAAACTGAAGAAAAGGACTTTTTCTAACCTTTGGCAGGAATCACCTGTTCATGTCAAAGGTCAATCCGAGCTAAAACAAAGTCAAAGTTGCTGCTCCTCGCTGTCAGTAACGCAGCAGGTAGAAGTGCGCCACAGGCAGGTCTGACTCTACAAAGCTTTTCAGGACAGCTTGATAAAATGGAGCAAACTCCGCCTCCTGTCCATTTTCCTGTGCACCTCCCTGTTTCTGTGTGTATGCTGCCAGGCAGCAACAGGTGAGGCCCTGGCTCTCCTTTTTCAGCAGCATTCCAGCACTGGCCTCACCTGCCGAATGAATGAGCCGCTTTAAGCCTCTCTGCGCAGCTCTGATTGCGGTGAAATGAGTCAGTGAAAAATATTTAGTTCAAAGCTAAGCCGATAGGAGAAAAAAAAACAAAAAAATGTATTTATTTAACCAATAGATGTGGTCAGGAGCAAAGGTTAACATTCAGCTTGAAATTCCCCCAAAAATATAACTTTCTCTTTTTTGTTCATCATAAGGAAAGAAGATGGAAGGAAATTGAATGCTTATTTTGTTCTTATCTTCATGAATAAGCAAATCTTTCATTCATATCATACAATAACATAATTTCAGCAAACCATAAACACTTAACAGCTTAAGATCACTGGTCGGTACAATATATTTTATCTCCTTGTTCTTTCTGTTCCCAGCATAGAGCTTTATTGGGATTTTATGCGATAGACCAACATTAACTGGTGTTTTCTTCTCTATTGAGGGAACAAAGAATATTTTAAACAGTTTTAAGCATCTGTCAGAGATTAAAATCTAAAAAAATGGGACACGCCGTTCACTGTTGTATCTGCAGTTACAGCAAATGTAGCTATTTTTGTTGTAAGTCTACCAGCTTTCCACTTTTGATGACCTATTTTCTCATTCCTTTGTATCAAAGCCTAGATCAGACTGGGCGGAGATCGTCTTTAAGACTTCTGACAGACACTCACTTCTGGACTTTGACTTCTTCATTCACACATGCTTCCATATGTTGATCCAGCGTATTTGGAAAAGGCTCTGCCTATATGTTAAGAGTCAAAGTCCTGTTTAAAGGCAGACCTCCATCCCCGTTAAGGCCTTTGAACCCTCTAATAGGTCATCCATTATTTCCCATTTTTAGCTTCCATCCTCTTTTCATCAACTCTGAACAGCTTCCATGTTCTTCATGAAGAAGCGTATACCGCTACTCCCCAACATATGGATCTAAGACCGATTATGCTATATTTGACAAGATCTCACAGGACCTTACTCCCAGTTGGAGTGGATGACTATCTTTGTACTCTATTAGATGTCCATAGCTTGCTGTTGCATTATGACCTAATACTTTTCTCTTCTCCAGAGCTTTATCCCCGGCCTATCTGGTGTGTTCCTTGGTTTTCGTGATACAGATTGTTCTCTCATGTTCCCAACACACATAAAATACTTCCACGGAGAAGATCAGTTTGTATTGAGACAAGGTTATTTTTATTTGTCAACATCTGTCAGTTTCCTGCCCTGAACAATTGTACACTATGGTTGGTTGATCTTTCATCCAGAATCATATTAAAAAAAAAAGAGATTATTTCTGAAATGTGAAAAAAGGAGAAAATGAAGATCTTTGTAATGTTGAAAGAACTACTGCCTCTGAATAAACCTGTTGCTCTGTTGGCTTCATGATGATCTGCCCAAAGTGCAGCCGAAGTGACCATAGGGATGGATGGTGGATGACATAAATCAGTATTTATATTTTCTAAACTAAATGAGTAAATTCTACAGCAGGGAATTATTTCAATATTATATATTGTTTTTTTTTTTCTTTTTTGCATTTAACTTTATCTACAAAAATCATATAGAATATCGTTTAGCAAATGTTGGAATAGATGTATATTTAAATCTGCTTACTGCGCAGCTAAACAGCCCTGCTTTCAAGGTCCTTAAAGATGTCACTAAACCCGATAATAATTGGTAAAGAAAATGTTAACCTAGATTAGCATGTCCATTGTGACCTGGTTTTCATATATTGAAACAGGACCATACAGCAGACAGGAACTCAGAAGGAGTATAGTGAAAATGAATTTAAACAAAATAGTTTATTAAAATTTCACAGCTAGGCACGAGGAGAACGGGGCATGTTGCATGGAGGGAGAACTGGGCAGAGAAAGGGAGGCAACATTGGATGGAGCTTTTTAACAAAAGGATCAAGCTGGGGACAATGAGAACAATATATGCTGAGGAACTAGTGGAGAATGACACTGAAAGCAGGTGACTTAATGTAGAAAAAATGTGAAGCAGCTGGGGAAAAAGGAGTGTAGGGAGGAAGATAAAACTACAGAAATGAATTGGGCTGAGCTGATTTGCACAGAAAGGATCTAACCTGGGAGAAAATATATCTAAGTGAAATATAGCAGAAATAATACAGAATGTTCAAAGAGCAGAACAGAAAAATAAACTAAGAAACTAAACGAGGTAATCGAAGCACAAGGATATAACTTAAAGGCTTTAAACAACAGGAAAACATGAGGAAGCAGATAAACAAAAGAGAGCCACAACTCAGACATCCATAATGGTGGCACTGATTTGCAAATAAAATGAAAGCTGGTCAGAAGGATGACAGAATGAACTGTGTGTCTCTATATTTGACCTAATTCATTGATGGGATCCTGAATGGCATCAAATATAGAAATAACATAAAATAAAACCATATCCTCAGTATGCTGTCTTAACTGTGCCTGATAAGGTACAAATTAAGAAGTTAACTCCTGTTTAAAAAAAAACAAAACTGAAAACAACAATGTTTGGATGACAATATAATTTTTGTTTTAGTTTCTACATCCTCAGTTTAGTACACAACTTTACTACAATATTTTAATCCTCAATTTCCATGCAAAATTTTTATATGACCTTTGAAATTTAGAGTACCCCCACCCTTCAACGTCCCCCATTATCCCTCAATTCCAGATGGAAAAGGATACCTTTAAGCACATAATATGTTTAGTGAAGTTCTTATGTGGCCTGCTACGTATGACATAACAGTAAGGATTGTTCAAGCATCCATTATGTTCTCTCTGTCTGTACAGTCACATTTTGTCTTTCAAGTTTAGCTGTCGCACCTGCTGTCCTGCAGACAAACCCACTGGTCCATCCAGTTTCTTCTTCTTTCGTGGGAATCATTTGTGCTCTTTGGAATAAAATGCAAGGAATGTTAGTGTACAACCTGCTTTGCAGTGCAGAAGATACAATAATATTGGCATTTTAGTTGCTGCCTGCTCATCTGCTTGCCTTTTACTATATCATCTTTTCTAGTTGTCAGTATTCATTCCAGGCCAATTTACTAGTGAGAGGGTGCAGGTTGGGGTCAGTATTATTTTCGTGCGTGTGCTAAGCAAAATAATAAATCAAACAAACAAACAAAATTAAGGCAATAGTTCACCATTTATTATATAAAGTTAGCCATGGAAGCCATTTAAATCTCTGAGCTAGATCTAGCAGATAAAGAGTGTGATCCTACATTACTACATCTGAAGCTATTCAACCACTGCAGCCAGCTTGCATTCAATCGCACCCAGCAAATGGCTCAGCTCACGATTCTGCTCATTCACAGCCTTTGTGAGCGTGTCAGCCACTGCCGGCATGCCTGATCAATGCCCAAATTGCTGCCGACATCCTCTGTAATTTTAGATAAATCAGGTATCCTCCAAATCAAAGCAGAAGAAATCCGAGAATCATATATCCAAAAATCCATGTGTCTTCCACACCCTCAACATTGTAAAACACACCATCCTCTAAGCCTTCTGTGAGCCAATGGTGTATCCCCCAAAGTGTGTCCCAGCAGGACAGGAGGGGTCCCCTTTTCCCTGTCTTCCAGTTGAGAAAATTGGTCAGTTGATTTGAAACACCAGCTGACCAGATCCATTGTTTGAATTTGGATTAAATAAAGAGAGGGCTCAGAAAGACAAGACACAGCAAAGCAGGGACAGAGTAAGGAGTTGCAGGAGCAGCAGGAAAGCATGACCACCTCCTTCGAAAGTCCGAACAGAACAGATGCTCCTCTGCATAACTCAGCTGCATCTAGTTACCTTACTATTGCCCTCCTATCAGCTTGAAACAGTCTGGCCATTCTCCTCTGGTTTCTGGCATCAACAGGTTATTTACGCCAACAGAACTGCCATTCACTGGATATTTGATCTTTTTCAGACCATTTTCTGCAAATCCCTACAAATAGTTGTGTTAAATTATCTTTAGATCAGCAATTTCTGAAATACTCCAGCGAGCCTGTCTGGCACAAACAACCATGCCCCCTTCAAAGCCACTTAAATCACCTTTCTTTCCTATTCTGATGCTGCGTTTTAACTGCAGCACAGTGTTTTGACCAGGATGACAAGCTCTAATGCAATGAGTGATTGGCTGATTAGAAAATTGCATTAACAAGCAGTTGAAAAGGTGTGCCAACTAAAGTGGCTAGTGAGTGTATCTAAAAAATGCATGGCTATGTTTTTAAAGGACCACCTATCACTCTATCATCTCTGACTAGTGCTGCTGTTCCCCCTGAAGAGAAAAAAACATCTTCACACCTTGATACTGCCACTTTCATGTTTCACCATGGGTGAAGTGTGTTTAGGAAATGAGTTTTAAGCAAACACTGCGCTTTGCATGTAGACCAAGTAGTAAAATTTAGCTCACAACTGACCAGAGAAACGTATTCCATACGCTTTTTGTGTTCCTAACGTCCAACAAACATGATTTCATTTGGATGTATTTCAACAATGTGTATTCTTACATAAAAAGCAACTTCTCTAATTAACGCTGTACTTTCCTGCTCTAACCCAGCTTCAAACCTCTCTAGAGATTTCTTCCTGAAATTTCTGCAGTGTCCCTTGGTCTTCATAAAGCTGTTTGTTCATTAATGTCTTCTAAAAAAACTCAGAGATCTTCACAAAAAAGATGCCTTTAAACTCAGATTTAATAACCCACATGTGGACCTACAACTGGCGAATTAAATAATCAGGTGACTTTG